CAGTGTACATCCTTTGGTCTAGCCAGACTTGTAAGGTAGAATTGGGATCATGATAGTGGGCGGGGGTGGGGAGGAAGCATTTAAGAACTAGAGAAAGTTGTATGTTTCATCGTTGCTACACTGCTCCCTGACTGGCTCGTTTCCTCCCCTAGACCCTTCTCTACGGGGGTGTCCAGTTGCCTACAGTTGGGCTTGGGGCCCCCAATCTGCACTCCCCCTCAATCACAATGATATGTCTTCATCAGTATTACAATTCAAAGGCAACAGTTCTTCTCTGCTCCTCCTTCACATGCATATGAACTGATGGAAAATAGCAAGTCTTAGGTCAAGTGCACCTTAGACCTCACAGGTGCTCTAACAGTTTAAAGGGGTCCTGTGCATCGTATTTTCCTAATGCAATACATAATTTTATTTCTTGACTGTTGCTTCCTTGAGTGTTGAATGTGGATCAGGTGAAATGAAATTCTTGACAACTGCAGTCCTTTCTTCATTTGCCCGGTTGTGAGGGTTTGTGTCTTCTTTCCATTGAGTTGTAATTCACACAGAAGGCTAGATCACCTTGGCTTCTCATAAGTAAGCACTTCAAGCCTCATAATTGTCAGCAGGCCAGGTGTGTCTTTCTCCGATTTCAAGCAGTGTTCTTTATGTAGCCCTGCTTCTTGGAGTATTTGGTTGATAAACAGATTGAATAAGTAGAGTGAAATGATACAACCCTGAGAATATACCTTTCCTAATTTCAAAAACACACTGCTCAAATGACCCTATAACAGTAGCAAAATGACAGTTATGAAGTAGCAATGAAAATAATTTTATGGTTTGGGGGCGTCACCACAACATGAGGAACTGTATGAAAGGGTCGTGGCATTAGATAGGTTGAGAACCCTACAAGTGTAAACGAATTGTGTATATGGATATCTCATATTTAAATAAACCCCACTGAAATTACCAATTTTATTTTTCCTGTTTATAGAGGAAATTACTGGTCCTTGGTTTAAAACTACACCATTTGTTGGTGTAGCGCAATTTTCAGAAGAAAAGGGTTGTAAATAAATGTGGAAACCCTGCAGACATCTCCTGGCTCATTCCATTGTGCCCTTTAGCATCTCAATGAGAACAATCTGCTGTCTTTTCACTTGTCTATCTTCCTTCAAGACCCCCATGGGCTGATCTTTCTAATATCCAGCCCAGGTGCAGTACCTGACAACGATAGGTATTTAATAAATATATGACTGGATACTTCATAATAATATTTTTTCAGTAAAAATACTAAATAAATGAATGACAACTTGGTGGTGGGGGAATGAGGAGGCTTTTTGCTCAGTAAAGAGTCACATTCTTGGAAACCCACAGGGGGCAATCCTGTCCTGCCCTGTAAGGTCTCCATGAGTCAGAATCGACTGGACGGCAGTGAGAGTGAGCACAGCCCAGGAGGCACGGACCTAAAAGTTGGGAAGATCTTCATGGGGAGCACTCGACTTGGATTTAATCTTCGTGCCCATTGTCACTGAGCCCATCGTAACTCACAGGCACCACATAGGTCCAGCAGATCTTCCCTAGCGGGTTTCCAGGCTGTGAGTCTTCGTGGAAGCAGACTTCCCCATCTTTCCTCCATGGAGTGACTGACAGACTTGAACGGCCAGTCCTTCAGGTACCAGGGGAATGCTTTAAACCCTGTGCCACCAAGTCTCCTTATAACGACCTACACTGGATTAAAGAAACGCTACTCTCTCCGACAGAGTTACTATGAGTCAGCGTTTGTACAAACAAAGCAATTAGTTTCTGCTTTATATTTGCAGCTCGTGATGATGCATTTTAAATAGAGCCCATTGAGTATGCTTTTATCGGTTACTTTTCTTGGTTTTAGCACTCCATTGTGCTTAAAAGCCTCTTAGAACATTGAAAATAAAAGTCTCCCCTTACTGATTTTGTCATTTTCCATTTGTCAAACATTGACACCCCCCCCTCCATTTATCCA